TCATCTTCATCATCTTCATCATCGGAGCAGAAGCCGACTTTACATTAGCAAGATGGATTTATGGCTGAACGAATGTCCACGACCTTTATTTTAATCATCTCTTTGAGTAACAATACTTTAAAGAACAAGTTTTTTTCTACGACAATTGGGTGTGAAAAAAACTACAGTTGTTAAAGCTTTTCTCTGCGTGACGTGCAGCGAGAGGAGAGGAAGAGATTATGATCCCGCGACACGACGCAACTTTTCTACAGCGGGAGGGGGATATTTTGAGGATTTATCCTCTCTATATGTGTTTTAAAACACTAGAATTTCTTCATTATATTTCAAACTCCTCCGGCTCAGTTGTCTCTGCACTCGCAGCCCTGTTGACACAGGTGCGATGACGTAATGACGATATGATGGTAGAGGGTAAATTTCTACCGTAGGCCAACTTCATACCGTTTCTCCCGTCTACCGCATATGCCGCGCAGCCCTAGAAGGGTGTAGTCACACCAGTCCGGTTTAGTCCACTTTAATCGAACTCTAGTTCATTTGGGGTGTAGAGGTTGTTCACAGGGTTCAGTTCATTTGACACAGAGCAGTGGGAATGTGAAACGCACCAAGTGAAAATGTAATCAAATGTTGTAATTTTGATCCCAAATCAAACCGAGTCTATCRGACTATCAGGTGTGAATACGACCTAACAGAGTTCAGTGAGGTCATAATCCTGTGTGAAAATAGCCTYAATCTGATTATCAATAAATTCTTATATATCTTACAGATGATACTTTATGAGCCTCCTCACACATTTCTCAAAGAGTTTTTTGGAAACACCGGGACGACTTTGCAGCTAAAACCTCTGGAAACCCTTTAATAATCTGTCAGTAAATAGTTCTTGTTAAACCGGATCCACCTGGAGCTGGGGGTTCAGTGGGGTCCATTATTAGCCTGTTTGTGTCAAAAGCTAAAACTCTGAAGACCAGATGTAATTAGTACAAGGCCTTTGTGTTGATGTGGAGGCTTCATGTTGGATAACTGAGCATGTTTTTAGTTTACTAAACAAACGTGACGACATGAATCAGTTTGATTTCAGCAGTGTTGCTGCTTCAGTGCAGCTCTCAGCTCAGGTCAGATCTGTTACAGTCTCAGAGCGGTCACACACATCCTACATGTCAATAAACACGATCACAATCACTGGAAAACTGTTGAGTGAATGTAAAATAATMAGTTATCAGTTAAAACGTTTTGTTATAATTTCAGCTGCTTATTAAGTCCTGTGATTCCAAACTGCGTTACATTTTCTGTCCAAGTTATTCTAAATGCTAACTACTGATCACTACCATTATTTTTTTTTTTGTGCACGCAGATGTTGGTTCTTTGTTTCATGCCAAATATATGGCCTGATTTTGTCTTTCTGACAATCTTAAGGACACTCCTATTACTGTGATGACCTAAGGAAAATTTTTAGGAGCTATCCCAGCCTGCAGCCTGTTGAATGTGATGTGTAGCCAATCAGAAACATTTAGAAACACAGTAAACAGAACAAACAGAAAACAAATAATGTTGAATTTAATGAGCACGCCTCAAACTAAAGTCTGTAAGGATTTAGAGACAGAGCTGAAACTAGTTCAACTCAATTCAATATCCATCAGGTATAAATAAAAACACAGGAAATAGAACTCGTTATAAAAGCCTGACACTTGTGTAACAGCAGCATCTCTGACTCGCAGGCAGATTTGTGGGACTAGAGGACACGTTGCTACWCATCCGTACTCAGTTAAACCCGATCAAACAGCGAAGTCAACTCTGTAGGAGTCGATGAAAGAGGGCCTTACAGATGGCGAGGATGCCTCGGGTTCAGAACTGGCCGGCACTGCTGGGGTCACACTGCAGCAGGCGGACGATGGAGGGGTCGCTCTTTGCTCCTTTGATGAACTCCTCCAGAGAGAGTTTACCTGGAACAGAAAACAAGACGTCAGGAGACGTTCGAATCGTCTGCTTATCCTTTAGATCTGAAAACATGGCTGGGAGCTGTGGAGGAGTGAGGACAGAGGGGCAATCAGAACACAGCATACATCAAACTGTAAGGATCTGATAACATAACAGGTAAAACCCCCACACTACTAATTCTTATTTCTTTTGACTCAGTTTAGATGTTGTTGTGACTCAAACTTGTTTTTGTACACTAACTGCATACACTGAACTTTTTGTGGATACTGTTTAGCACAGCTTACTAGAAATGTTGCGCAAGGGTTTGTGGTATTTTTAGTGGTCCTCACACTTTAAAGACTGGACTGTTGAACAGCTGAAAACATGTGTTTTGGTTTGTGACGGACCAACTTCTAATCAGATAAAAGACAAACTTGTTCGGAACTTTTACACGGCTCAACTGTTG